CAGCAGCAACAGCAGCAGCAGCAACAACAGCAATGCCGATTCTGCTGTGTGGCGTTTTTACTTCGCTTGGCCTTGCATTTGCTGCTGCTCATTTGCTGCTGCCGCCTTTGCTGCTGCTGCTGCTGCTGCTGTTGCTGCTGCTGCTGCTGCTGCTGCTGCAGGATGAGAGCCCTGCTTTCTTTCGCGAGTTTCGTAAGGCCTGGGCTGCAGCAACAGGCGACGACCTTGAGGAGGAAGACCCTCTTCCAGATGAATAATTGCTGCTGCTGCTGCTGCTGCAGCGTGGCACTGCAGCAGCTCCTGCAGCGGCTTGACTCTGCAGCAGGACCTTCTGCAGCAGCAGCTGCTGCTGCTGCCCCACAGTCCCTCCCAGCTGCCTAGGAAGGCGTCTGCTTTCTGCTACTCAAGCAAGATGTGTATGCCCTCAGCAACAGCAGAAGTAGCAGCTGCAACAGCAGCAGCAGCTGCTGCTGCTGCTGGTGTATTAGCAGCAGCTGCAGCAGCTGCAGCAGCTGCAGCAGCTGCAGCAGCACTAAGCGTCTTTCATTCGGCAGAAGAGCAGCAAGCGTAGACGCAGCAGAGACAACTCCTGCTCCGCAGCAGCAGCAGCAGATGCAGCAAGTAGCAACAGCAGAAGTAGCAGCAGCAACAGCAGAAGCAGCAGCAGCAGCATCAGGTTTAAAGTCGGGTTCACACCCACGGGTCTGCCTGAGGGCGCAGCAGCTTTGGCTGTAATTTCTGCTGCAGGGCAAAGCGGAGGTTGAATGAAGTGCTGCTGCTGCTGCTGTTTTTGCTGCTGCTGCTGTTGCTGCTTCTGCTGCTGCTGCTATTGCTGCACCAGTTGCTGCTGCAGCATGCAGGGTAACCCGTTAGTGGCGAGGCAGCGAATTGCCTCCCCTTTAAAATGCCCGGTAGCAGCAGCAGCAGCAGCAACAGCAGCACCAGCTGCAGCAGTAGCAGCAGCAGCAGTAGCAGCAGCAGCAGTAGCAGCAGCAGCAGTAGCAGTAGCAGCAGCAGCAGCAGCAGCAGTAGCAGTAGCAGCAGCAAGGTTGTTGTTGCTTTGGCTGCCTTTGTTTACTATGAATGAATAATATAATTTGTCTGTTTGCATTTATTATTGTGCGGTGTACAGACACAGGAAATTAATTTATTTTATTTATTTTATTTATTTATTTATTTATTTTTATTATTTAACTTTAATTTGGTTCTGCATAGACAGAGCGTGTGCATGCGGTAAAATATTTATTCTTTTGTTTTACTCGTATACTGTAGACTAAATATAATAATATATTATTATTATTATTTATACTATTATATTTTATTATTTATTATTATTTTATAGTAATAATAATAATAATAATAATAATAATAATAATAGTAATAGATAATAGGGACAGCAAATTAATAATAACAATCAGATTATAAATTAATAATTATAAATAATAAATAAATAATAGTAGAAAGTAATAACTAATAGTTAGTAATATTAAATAATAATAATAACTAATAATTAATAATTAATAATAATTAATAATAATAAATAATAAATAATAAATAATAAAAATAATAATATAAACATAAATACGAAGTACATTCTTAGTGTGCGGATTTGTTTGTCTTTTGTTTAATTTGTTTGTTTTTATTTGATTAAATAATAATAAAATGTTGATAACTATTATACGCATGTTAATATATTTGATATAATATAATATAAATATAATATTATATTTATATTATATGAATATATTTATATAATATAAATATAAAATAATATTATCTTCTCTAACATATTAGTTCACTCTAGGATATACCTCTATTATTATATATTATTATTATATAATATTATTATAATATTATAATAATATTATTATATATTATTATATATTATTATATGTTATTATTAATGCATGCATAAAGGGCTTTAAAGATATAAACTTAAAAGACAAACAAAAGTTTTTTTGTTTTGCTGCGCTGCCGCTCCGGCTGTACATACACCGTAAACAAAAAATAAACAAAATAAGCAAGAGAAAGAAGCAGCAACATATGTTTTATTATTTGGCTGTACGTACACCTCAACAGAGGCTGTGGAGGCTTTATTTGCATGCAAACAAAACAAAGAAAACTCAGTTAAAACTTTTATTAACAAAATAATCATCTTTCTCTGCCTTTGCTTCGTTAGTAAATTAGCTCTTACATACATGCCTATATATATATATATATATATATATGTATAGTATATATATAATATATATATATATATGCATATATATATATATAGACATATATATATAGATGTTATTTATATATGCGAATCCACACATCTATATATATTTATTGACATATTTAGATGTACATATTTGCATATATATAAAATATATATACATATATTTATATACATATATATATATATATATACATATATATATATGTATGTATGCAGATATATATAAACTTATATATCTATATAAACGCAGGCACATATGCATATTAACAGGCAAGC